CCTATTCAGGCGAAGCACCATGAAATATACCTCGAGCTCATCAAGTATTCTCAAAAGAGCTGTTTTATGCCTTGGTATGTGGTGCGACTTGCATTCTGTCTGAGCCTTTGAATGGTGCAAAGATATGTGTACGTAGCAAAGGATTATTAGGACAAATGCTTTGTTGGTCAAAAAGAAAATACAATAGAATTAATGCTTTCATTAGGTAAGTAACATTGCCCTTAGTCATTCATACATGTAACAAGTCAATAACTTAAGTAAGGCGAGAAGTATCTTCGTACGGTGTACGTCACCTAAAGCCCCTAGATAGAACCTAGGTAACCTGACTCCTCATTCGAACGACCGTTGCCGTTTATTTCGCAACCATATGCAATTAATGACACACTGGATGATAATTATTAGAGGGCGATTGACACGTTAGAACTTTTAGGGAGACACGTTGGTAGAGAGATTCGGCGGAAATAGCAAATACGTTGTAAGCGCCTCCTTAAATTTGTGCTTAGAAGAAAACTTAGAGGTAGTACAGAACAAAATTTCCCACCCCTATTTCTTATTACATCTATCTATGTTCCACCTTCAGAAACAATAGCCTCTTCGAACGCCCAGATCATTCCATCGTAGAGTTTGTTTACAGCCTCAGGCGAGTTGTCGGTCCCTGCCCAAATTGCTCCATTTCGCAGGGGAAAGAGTATTTGGCGTAGATTTTCGGCGACAGGCTTGAGGGACTGGAGCTCGGAAGCAACTTCCTCCAATATATTCTGAAAGTTATCCTGATCCATGTCAAGAGACTTACGGACCGCTAGCTCGTTCCAGTCGCCATTGCTCCATTGTCGAAGCTTGCTTGTCTCTAGGGGATTATCCGTGTGGTTGGTTATGATTGTCCACAGGAAAACGTAAAGGAAGGACTCCAGGTCGTGCCGATAAGTATGGCATTCGCTCTTCAGAACACCAATAGCCATGAACGGTCTGGTGCCTGTAATATCAAGCTCTGCTTCTAATATTTCGGCAAGTTCTATTGCAGAATCAAGGTCTATCAGGATCCCCTTGGGCTGTTCTTTATCTTGGCCATCTAGAATGATGATATTCCCCGAGGATATATCTTGGTGGAGAATATTGGCGTTATAGAAGAGTGATCGGTGGCACTTGATAGCATCACGAAATACTTGAAGCAATTCTATTCGAGACTGAAAAGTGTGAAGGGGCGTGCCGACAGGAGAAGTAATGATGCAGGTAAGGATACGATTTTGAAAGAAGTTATCGGTTTCCGCCGTATACTTGAGCAGTCCGTCGACATTACTAGTAATCTCCTGTCGTTGCTCTTCGATACTTTCATACCTCTCGCGATAGTGTATCCTAGCGAATTTTCTGTGTGTCCCCCACCGGAGACCTCGACGTAGATTTGCTGTACTTTCAACTTCTTTGTAATAATCAAGGGAGACGGCGCCCCAGACGCATTTCTCCTTGGCTAATTTTAGAAGCTCGTCTTCCGGACGCTCCCTAGCCCAACGCCATTTAAACTTCAAGACGTAATTCCATTGATACGAATCAGGCATTCTAGCCCTATAGCAAGTAGTCCCGGTGCCAACAAGGCCTTCGCGGCATGCAATTGGCTGACTTTCGAGATAGAGCTTTCCCAAAGAGGGCGGCGCTGCATCATCAAGGATAATGTAGCTGCCACCCTTGTCCGTTTTAATGATGTTTGAATTCCCTAGGTCCTGATCTGTCATCCGCTGATAGCTAAGAATAGTAGAGAGAAATTGGATGAAATCTTTCCGAACATCGAATACATCGCTACAATATAGGCCAGATCGATCGAAAACCCAAAGTTCGATCAGCGAACCGCGTATGTAGAAGCCATGTAGGAAGAGCCGCGTAGGCTGACTGGCGAAGACCTGGTGTGCGGACCAGCAGAGAGCTAATAACCCTTCCTGATAACACACGCGATCATGGTTGTAAAACTGGCCAATAACTTGAACATGGTCCCACATTGACTGTACATTGGAGGCCAGCGAAATGGGCATAGCCAAGAGGAGACGTGCACCGTTGTCGGCGCTCTCGTAGGCAGGTGCTACATTGTCACTAGATATATGCCATGAGCCTCTGCTGCCGTCAAGCTCCCGCGATACATAGTTGGAAAACCATTGTAAGAAACTGTCGGGTGACGGGGCAGCTAATGGAACAGCACAGCGGTCAGTAATTCCTTCGGCTGCCTCGATTTCCAATAAGGCGTCTTGGCGGACATGTTGGAAGTTGCCAAAATATTTTTTGATAAATCCGCTCATGGGGCCATGCATGCGGCCGTCTATGTTACCAAGGATTTCGTGGTCGTCTGTCGTTGAGGCCGATGGAGCTGGCGGATGATTCTCCATGACCACCGATGGCATATTGCGTGAGAGGAGGGATTGGAATAAAACTGGCAAGCAGCTCTCTACCAGAGCTCATAGAAAGAGCTGAAGATATTTCATAATCAATCTCCCCAGCTTAACGGGTACCTACCTACCTACCTAAAGCATCCATATTTACGGGTCGGCGGGGCACCTGGTGCTCAACCTGCTTAGCGCCAGTTTGTCCCTTTGCAGGGCGGCGGGGAATCTGCGAATACAGGTAGGCAGGTACCTAGGTTATAGGCGGTCACTCCCTGGTCCTTTAAAAAGATATACGACGGGACTTCTAAAGTGTAATAGAAAGACAACCAAATTTAACATCCAAGAAAAATTCAAAATATTCACACCAACATATATTATCCCAGAGTAATAAATAATACACAGAAGAAAATTTAAAACTGGAATGCATCGTATTATTTGCTGACTCTAGACCGACTTAGCAGGGGCTGATGCTCGAAGCACTCCCAGCATCCTTCGGAATAGCATTGGCATTGACAGCGCTCTTATAACACCAGCGATATTCATCCATTCCTGCGATCCAGTTACATTTCCACGACCAAAATATCCAGCCGCCAGACTTTTCAAAGGTTTGCGCCTGTGCGGCCCAGAACTTCTGATACCATTCCGCCTGGTCCGGTCGGTTCTTGATTTCGAATTCGTCGTTGGATTGCACCGAGTCTGCAACGGAAATTGACCATTCGCCTACAATGGTATCGCTACCGCCACGATTGTCTTTGCATGCAGCTGAGATATACCCTTCTTTCGTTGTAGTCACAGAGCTATCCCACTTGTAGTACTTGTGGTCGTCATATAACGCGAAAGTAGTGTCGGGGAGATGACTGCTAGGGTCGCCGGAGCCCCATGACTTGTCCTGTAGTTGAGGTTAGAAAATATGCTATTTTGAGAGTTGCGGGAGACCTACCATCATCTGAATATGTACGCGGTTGTTATCGGCCACGTTCAGCTTGTCCTCGCGGCTCCGAATACGGGACCAAGCGCCGGGGTAGTAGTTCGCAATCATGTCTGCGGCCTCCGATCCATAATCTCCGGCGTGTACCGGTTCGTTCATGACTTGCAAAGTGCCGACAGTGCGGTAGCTATCGTTCGTGTGGATCCTTTCCGTCATCCATTCGAGGAACTTGTATGCGCGCTCGTAGTTATCTTGGGTGTAAAATCCAGGGGAGCTCACACTATGACCGGTATATTGTTGGTTTGGAAATTGCACTCCGGGGCCACCGTGAAGATCCATCACGACGTAGATACCGGCGTCGGCGCACCATCCAACTAATCGATCTAGATACTGGAGGCCGCCTCGTGGGTAGTGCTCTCCGTCGTTTACGAGATCTTCCTTGAGCCAGAAGCCGACGGGAATACGGACAGTGTTGAGACCATAGCTCTTGATCTGCGATATATCGTCTTGTGTAGTCCAGGTGTCCCAATGTTTTTTGAAAGCAGCGTCTGCCGCATCCTGTCCGAGTGCTTGTACGCACAGCCACTCGTCATTGGCACTCCCGCATCCCACTATTTATTTCATCTAGAATCAGTGATTATTTCTCTGCGGGGCGGAAACCAGTACGGGTATTTTTCGATGTTCCCAACAATGAGGAATGGATGGATCTCGCATTGTGGATTGAAGGGTTTTATGATGGTCACCTACTACCGCTCCATTCATCCTGGGCCATCCAAGGCTCAATAATAAACTGCGATCCAAGATTGACACCGCGGACCTTGTCGGCATTTGGAAGCCATCGTCTGCTAGGTTGCGTGTATTCGCTGGAGGACTCGAAAGCTGCCGTAATGTTAATACGATCATCATGTATGAGGTGGACAATATCTTACGCATAGACTGGGCAATTCTGAAGTTGGCCCAGGCCAATATCGCAGACAACGCTGATTTGGGAAGCATCATGGCGAATAGAGAAACTATACCAGTGTGTGTCCTTCACTTGAGATGATATTGGAGGGAGAACGGAATGGACAACGAAATTCTCGATGCTGGAACATGGATAGATTTGTAAACTGGGCTCGGGGTGGCTTATTTTAGGGCGATTGAGAAAATTGAGTGAGGCTCTGTAGATGGCTCCCCTGGATGAAAGCCTACCTACCCAAGTAGGTAGGTAAGCGTCCAGCTGCTGACACCAGCAACCCTAGCCAAGGCCTCGATGCCATAATTTCAACTATAGTACTGTACATTATACGAAAGTTATTAATATGTACGGGGCTTTTTTTTTGGTATGTGTGTGAGTGTGTGTACCATAAACCTACATATTCACAAGTATCAATTAGATATATTTCATCGTAGTCTTCAATATATTAGTGACAGCTTGGTCTGTTAATAATAGGGGTAATATGACGCCAATTACTTAGTAACACTGGAATGAAGCTGATGGAGATGAATTGGCGGGAGGATTCTATTTTTATATTTGCTCGGCAATCTAAATATAGGGTGCCTTATAAAAATGGGTCAGGGAGTCGGTCCATGAACCGGTGGCTTGGCCGATTGATTATGGCAGGGATCACCGTTCTAAGACCCCGAGTGTAAAAAATAATTACAAGTCTCTTCAACAACAGCGAAAAGGGCGAAAAAATTTCAAATTTTTTTTTTTTTCAAAAATTGGGCTCAACCGGGACTCGAACCCGGGATCTCGCGCAATGAAGAAACAGTTCCCGAAGCGCGAATCTTACCACTAGACCATTGAGCCTGTTCCACTGTGATTGTACATGCTCTTTTTCAGATTCAAGAAACTTTAGACAGTGTAAGGTCGGCATAGTGGCTGAAGCAATCCACAAGGAGTTTTCAAAGGTAGGAGCGACCATAGGTGAGGGCGTACAACATTCCATTCTATGCGTCAAATGTAACATTCGGTATTTGGTAATCAGCCACCAACATTTGCGGCTACCGGGAATCCTAGACATGAACATGCCTAGAGCTGTAAGATCAGCTCTCGACGGCGGACGAGGTCGCATGAAGAAAATATGCTCCATGATGAGCAGAATTGACCGAAGAGGTTCCTCTGGCCAAAAAGAGGAGAAGAAAATCATTGTAAAATAGATGAAAAATTAACTCCGAATCGGGGAATCGAACCCCGGGCTTGGCGGATCACGTAGAAGGTTGATATATGTAACCAACCAAGTGAGAGCACCAAATGTTAGCCACTACACCAATTCGGATTGACACCTTGACATTCAAGAGAGCACTGTTAAAGAACTTTTCAAGCATGACTTGTTGATAATCTCTTAACTTCGCTAGCGTAACCCCAGCGTGCTCTAAGCGCAATTTTCCAACAACTATGTCTTTCTTCAAGCACAAAGATGTAAGTCTCAGGACATTATCACTAAGAGTGTTAATATGGGGAAAATGTCTCAATGGTAATGATAATAGGGGAAGTTATCTCTGGCCTCTAATGCCATAGGTTAGGTATGGAAGTGGACATAGAAGAATAGGTAGGTACTATGTACCTAGTTACCATCAATGGTGTGACGAGTATAAAAGGCGCGATTGCACAATTAGAGTATTAGGGGCCTAAGGCGTGGAGTGTCGATCTAACAATCACGCGGGAACCGGCATTAGTAGGCAGATAAGGTAGGTTAGTTGCCGTTAGGGGCAGATATGTAGCCTGTATCTAGGTAGTTTTTGAACTAGAACTTACGATTTTAGATGACGTTAATATCCATAAGCATGCGGCAACAGCGCTCCCCTTACCAAATCAATTAATCATCATATGTCTGTATGTTCATTCATTAGCGAAATATGTTCTCAGTTATTTAGAAGTCTAGCTAAACTCCCGACCGAGAGAGTTCCAACGCAAGAGTCTCCATACCAATAAGAACGTCAATGGCCGCCATTTAGCTCTAAACTTTGCATTAGATGTCGACAGCATCAACCTCTCATCATTTCGTTGGAACAAGGAGTGTGTGCCCAAGAGCAGCCGGGGTTTCCATCCTGACTCGTGGTACATGTACCCTTTATATTAAAGGTTCGTTCCCACAATCGCATACCCCTTTCTTCGAGCCCAATATTGACTCTACAATACCTTTGGTAATTCATCACGTCAAGGACGTGAACTCTTTCGATATATCATTTGAGGGACAGCACTCAGGCTATCAAAACCCTCTTCGGCGAGGCCTTGTATCTATCTCTCTATTTTCTATAATGACCTGCTGAGCTTTAATCACCGGCTATCATGGAGTGCGACCAATCGAAGCTGATTGATCAAGGAGTTCCGCTGTCTACTGGTATCGTCATCTGGGTATTTTTCGGGATCGCATTGTACAACAACATCGAGATATTCATACTAATATTTACTATGTTTCAACGCAGAAACACTCTGTACTTCTGGAGCATGCTGATTTCGAATATTGGAATATCGATTCATGAGATATATGCCACCTTACAACTTTTCAACCTAGCACCTGATCTACCGAAGGCCTTGATCGCCAGTCTAGCCTGGCTGATAATGACAACAGGACAGTCAATCGTCCTTTACTCACGACTTCATCTCGTCATGGACAACCGGCGCAAGTTGCGTTGGGTGCTACTTATGATCGCTATCTCGTTTATCACCTTGCAGCTCCCGACGACCACAGTCTTTATCGGCATGCAAACTACACCAGCAAATAAGAGGAGTGCATTTTCCAACGCATTCAACGTCCTCAAAGTCATCCAGCTCGTTGTATTTACAATACAAGAAGCCTTATTATCAGGCCTTTACGTGTACGCGTTTCGTAAAACATCGCAGCCTATGCGCATGTCAAAAGAGCGCAAAGTCCGAAACCTACTCCGCCAAATGATCGGCCTTTTTATAGTGGTCGTGTCATTGGATTTTGGTCTTATCGTAGCCGAGCTCATGGAACTCTTTCAAGTCCAGACCACCCTAAAGCCTGTTATTTACAGTATTAAGTTGAAGGTGGAGTTGCTCGTGCTAGACAATCTTGCCAATTTGGTACAGTCGTCAAGTTGTTATTCCTGAAATTCATCATCGGATCAAAGTCCATTGCAACCTCAGAGTCGAATATCAGACAGGCAGACAGTATTTACTGGCTCATCTAATGAAAGCGGGCGGCGGCAACTCACGCAGGTCAACCCTTCACTTGGAAGAGGACTGATAGAGAGGAGGACAGTGGATATAGGTGCATACAACTCGTGTGTCCTCAGCGGAACAAGCGCGATATAGTAGTCTGCAAAAGCTATGCACTACGAGTACATTGGGGAAACTACGGTTAGGACTTGGAAGCGACTACTTTAGCTTGCTGAGGTAGGTCTGTTGGACCTGTTGTAAATGTTCTATATACACTATATTAATTTAATATTCTGTTGAACCAACCACAACTTATAGTATCAGCATGAAGAACTCATATTCACATATAATCAATATTGTAGCTACAACTTTCACAGGACATGGCTAGGTATTTCCCAAGCTAGCCTACAACATGCTTGCCATTCTCTAATATAGAGTATATTGGGTGAATAAAATAATATAGAAATAATAACTTGAGCGCACACTTGTTGTCCTATCTATCTTGTTAACTGAACGTATCGATACGAACAGTGGAAAATAATATATTAAAGTCTTCCTATCTTGGTTAAAGTCATTTTATGAAGTCCTAGGAGATGCCAAAATAGTAGATTTATGACTATTCATGTAGTTAACTTCCTTAATTAGATTAGGTAGTGACTTGTTGGAATGTTAATACCCGGGCATAAAGTCCTTCCCATATAGATATGAGCAAAGTTTACCATTTTATCCCTTCTTTGCGGCTGGATTGCCTACCAATATAGTTGAATAGGGATTTTGTCACTGCTGATTTGAATTTAATTATTATATTATATGACTATTTAGACATGTAGGCCCTTTGTCCTGGTGTCTTATATCTGGTTATAAATTTCTTAATAGAGCAGTAGCCGTTGATAAATAGGTAGATAACCGTCTAGTACGTAGAATAGGGGGATGGTAATACGTACAGCGTCTGAAATGATTCTAATTGATCGTGTACAGTTGTGATTTTATGAGAGCGAATTGCTCATCCTATATAATAACAACAATGATTATCAGTAATATCTAAAGCTCCCGGTAGCCTAAGGCAACCGCGTTGGTTGAGTTCCCGCCTTCACGTATCGGGTTGCCGACCCCCATCATGAACACGTACTTGACCTTTGGCAGGTACCCAGTCAACTAACCATCCTCCAGTTCCTTCCGACTTCTATAAGTATTTTACTGAACGTATATGACTGGGGTGATAACGGGCTACCACGTGACATGGAGTTGCGAGGTGTCAACACCTTTGGCGGGTGCACCGACGGCGCACCTGCCTGTGAACGGTCAGCTACGAACAGCTACGTATTATTCACACCAGCAGCTATACCTTAGTTTTTTATTAAAACCCACTCCATTCATTTCCCACTTCACCTCTTGGAAATACACCAATTTCCCAAATTCACAAACATTCACAAACATCCCTCGACAATATCTCATCGATATCTCATCAACCAATTTCACAATGGCGCCATCCAAAAAGGGTAACACTCTTAAGACCAACGGTGGCGGCGACGGCGGCGGTGCGGACCTAACTGAGCGTGAGATCCGCGTCGTCGCCAAAGCTTTCCAATGCATCACGGCGTTCCGCGACGGTGTCCCCCAGGTAATATATACTATTTACTATTTCAAAGCACACCTCGCCACATACTTGGAATCTTTCCATGCCATTCCACCATCTCATTGTCAATCTACTAACCATTTCAAATTGTATAGGTCGATGCGAAGAAGCTGGCCGCAATCGCTCCGTACTCTAGCGCCGATTCCGCCCGCCACGTCTGGAAGCCAATCGAGAAGAAGCTTATCGCTTTCGCCGAAAGCGCGCCCGCGCCCACGCCCGCTTCCACTCCCGCTTCCGCCGCCAGTGAGACCAAGAGTACTCCCCGTAAGCGCAAAGCTGACACCGACGGCACCGAGGGAACGCCGACCAAGAAGCCGCGTGCGGCGAAGAACAACAAGGCGAAGCCCAAGGCCAAGAAGGAGGAGTCGGAGTCGGAGGCTGATGTTTCTGACATCAAGGACTCTGATTACGACGAGGGCGAGGCCTAGGTGCACCCGCGTGCTCGGAGATGGCAGTCTCTAGCATGGATGCCTGCAGATTTGGAACTGGGAAGGATTCACATTGAGTGAAGAGTCTCGACGATGGGTGTCGTCATTAGCAAATGATAGGCAGAATAGTGCGTTGCGATGAATCTACAATGAATCCCCCCATACGTTTATCATGAACCTCGGTCTTGGACCTCTACCAAGTACACGTCATTCAAGTGTAAATGAACTCCGATGGACCAGGGAGCCAGGTTCCTCTCTTTGCGTGAATTCTGCACGAGTCCCTGAGCCGGGAAACTCTTTAGAAATTCCACCTCAGCCACCAATCACTACCTTATGTATCTATCTATGTACAAGTAGGTACCTAGCAGCCTAGGTATACGGAGCCATGTTCGAGCAAATGAACAACAAATGAACAAACAAACTTTGATTGTTAAGACTTTCAAGATTTATCAATCCCTTTGTTTTGAATCCGCATAGCAAGTTGCAAAAACAACTGCCTAGCGTGAAGTTATGTAAGAGCTGCCTGGCTCCGAACATCTTATCAAAGACCGAACGGTACTTACCTAGGTACATATGTACTTGCCATTGATTGATTCCAGCAGGGGTAGGTACATGCAGTACTCCCCTTGTAATAATTAGTTTCCTGTCCGTGCTTCTACCGATCTACACTGGGGTTCTGATGTTTCGAGAAATATTACTATCATATTTACTAGAAGAATGGTGCTTATTGGAGGCTTGAAATCTCTATAGTACAGCTATTGTATAAACTAAAATTCGCTGTTCAAAAATTTTCAGCTTATTTTTTTAGTGGTTGCGAAGTATGCTGCTGATTTTGATATGAAGGTATACATAATATCTCAAAGTGCGTATAAAGTAGAAGCTCGGACATAAACTAACACTTTTTACAAGGGGTGTAGTGTATGTATGTACATAGGTACAATCTTATCAGATCCGCTGATATGATTAGATTCGGGACGGCGGACCAGGATATTTCGGGGTTCTAACCGCGCTAGGCCAAAGGAGCGACCAAAGTCCCCAAATTGTTGGCTTATGTACAATACAATCAGCCCACGACGTCAGGGACGTATG